AAAAAAAAAAAAAAAGAAAAGAAAAAAGAAGAAAGGAGGAGGAGGAGGAAGAGAAGGAAGAAAAGGAGGGAAAGGAAGAATAGCTCATAAGTGTTAAAAACATAGATGAAACTTGGCTTGGCGCTCATAGCACAGTGGTTATGGCACCGGCCACATGCACCAAGGCTGGCGGGATCAAACCGGGCCTGGGCCTGCTAAACAACAATGACTGTTACAACAAAAAAATAGCCGGGCTTTGTGGTGGGTACCTGTAGTCCTAGCTACTTGGGAGGGTGAGGCAAGAGAATTGCTTAAGACCAAGAGTTTGAGGTTGCTGTGAGCTTTGATACCACAGCACTCTACCAAGGGTGACATATGAGACTGTCTCAAAAAAAAAAAAAAAAGATGAAACTCGAGAACATTATGCCCAATGAAAGAAGCCAGATAGAAAGGGTCACATATGTATAATACCCCATTTACATGAAATATCTAGAATAAGTAAATCCAGGCTGGGAATAGTGGCTCACACTTGTAATCCTAGCACTCTGGGAGGCCAAGACAGGTGGACTGCCTGAGCTCAGGAGGTGAAGACCAGCCTGAGCATGAGAGAGACCTCATTTCTAAAAATAGCCCACTGTTGTGGTGGGTGATTGTGATCCCAGCTACTTGAGAGGGTGAGTCAAGGGGATTGCTTGAACCCAAGAGTTTAAGGTTGTTATGAGCTATGACACCGCAGCACTTTACTGGGGGCAAGAAAGTGAGACTCTGACTCAAATAAAAAAAAAACAGAATAAGTAAACCCATAACAGACATAGAACACAGTGGAGGGAAACTGTGTACAGGGTTTCCCTTTGGGATGATGAAAACAGTCTGAAGCAAGATAAAGGTAGTACTTGCACAAAACTATAAATGCACTAAATGCCAATGAATTGTTCACTTTTAAAATGGACACTTTTGCGGGTGGTATCTGTGGCTCAGTGAGTAGGGCACTGGCCCCATATAGTGAGGGTGGTGGGTTTGAACCCAGCCCAGCCTAATTGCAACAAAAAAATAGCCAGGTGTTGTGGCAGGCACCTGTAATCCCAGCTACTCAGGAGGCTGAGGCAAGAGAATCGCCTAAAGCCCAAGAGCTGGAGGTTGCTATGAGCTGTGACACCATGTACTCTGCCACAGGCAACAAAGTAAGACTCTGTCTCAAAATAAAATAAAATAGGCTCGACGCCTATAGCTCAACCGGCTAAGGCGCCAGCCACGTACACCTAGGGTGGCGGGTTCGAATCCCCAGCCCGGACCCGCCA